GAGCTGCGCAGATTTCAACGTTTTTTGTAAGATCGCTGGCGAGTTAATGGTGAAGGCCTATGAATGATGTTGACATCGACCGCAGGGACGCTACCCTTGAATGTCAGGGTATAGCTGTCCGGTCAGGCGATGTTGAGTTCGAGATATTTAATATAATATATACATCTCCCCAGTTACATGTTGCCCAACAGGATATCACCCGAACATAGGTGCTCTACTTCGTGGTGAAAACCGTTTGGTGCTAGGCGACTTTAACGCGCACCACGGTCATTGGCACTCCTGCCTGTCAAACGATCGTAGGGGGATAGAGCTGGCAGAACAGATTGACGATTCGAGATTGTGCATAACGAATGACGAGGCCCCCACCAGAATTATCTCGATCGAAAAACCCCCCGGTTTTATTTCTGTGGACAACCGCACCTTTGTTAACTTTAACAAAGCTAACTGGGTCGGCTTCACAGAATTTACCAAGAGCTCCTTTACCGCACTACCCATTTATACGGACGTTATCCTTGGCGAGCATCAATTCGGCAAGGTCATCGCTGCTGCTACAGCCCGCTTCATACCGGCTGGAAGAATAGCGGAACTCCGCCCTAATTTCCCAGCCGAAGCAGCTGTATTAGCAAATGAGCGCGACACCTTACGCCATGCCGATCCCGGTGATCCCCGAATAAGGGATCTCAATTTGTAGATTCGGCAAATGGTAAATCAGCATAAGCGGACAAAATGGATAGAGCATCTGAAGTCCTGCAACCTCTCTACCGGTGTGAGTAAGCTTTGGATGACCGGGTTGAAATACAATTCCCCTGCGGCTGACAAGGCCAAACGATGTCTTACCCGACTGCTGCGCAAAATGCCAAAAGTTAGCGCACCACTTACTTTCAGCAATGGGGAGGTTCACAGTGCCATCAACAAGGCCAAATCGTCTAAATCCATTGGCCCTGACGCAATAAGCATGCTGATGCTAAAACATTTAGGCTCGACGGGAGTAAGCTATCTTATCGTCCGATAACTTTCCTTTCCCTAGTAGTGAAGACACTTGAGGCCTTACTATTCCCGAGATTCACTCCCCACCTGAGTCTAGCAGACCATCAGCATGGCTTCCGAAAAGGGCACAGCACCACCACAGCACTTAGCGTCATAAACGCCCAGATAGTTCATGGCCTAAACCAGAAGCCAACCTGCGAGAGGACGATCCTCGTAGCTTTGGACTTGTCAAAAGCTGTTGACACAGTCAACCACACAACACTACTTGAGAACATAGAATAATCCGCGCTTCCTACAGGGCTGAAGCGGTGGACTATGAATTACCTGAGCGGTCGGCATTCGTCTGTTTCGAGGTCAAAACTATCACTACTGTTTAATTTCAACATCTCGAAACTCCGCCAACGACCAGAGGGAATTTCCATGACCTCGTACGCTGTTGACTGCACGATATTGACTTCGGGCAATGGAACCGATGGCATGTGCTCGATAGTAAACGGCTATCTTTCCGACCTCTCTCGCTTCTTCTATGCAAGGAGCCTGTCACTCTCCCACTAAATACAAAGCGACCAGTTTTACAAACTGGACGAATGAGTACAGACTGAATCTAGACATTTCAGTCGATGACATCAAAATGCCGACAGTCAACAACCCTAAAATTTTAGGCGTAACATTAGACAGCCTCTGCTCCTTCACTCCCCACACGACCGCGATAACTGCCAAAGTACAAAGCCGCAACAAAATCCTCAAATCGCTTGCCGGCAGCTCTTTGGGAAAAGACAAAGAAACATTGCTGGCAACATTCAAGTCAATCGGCTCCTATATGGTCGCCTGGATGTAGTACAATGCAGACGAAGAAGCTTCAAACTTGTCAAAACACTGTACTCCGGACTATTATGGGATGCCTCTTGATGTCCCCAATAGAACACCTGCATAGTAAGGCCCGTATGCTCCCGGATAAGGAACATAACAAGCTCCTCTCCAAGCAGTTTCTGCAGTTGTCTGCTTGAAGCGGAACTGCCTCCTAGGAACATCAGGACGTCCTTCCTTGATTACGTCGACGACATTAGACAGTACGCCGACCAGACCTCGGACGCAACGAACTTTAGACAAGCACTGACTGCCATTCAAAGTGAAGATATCAACACCTTCACCGACTCCCTCTCAGTGAATGGCGTACTAGGAGTCAAACCACCACCCATAGCAAGCGTAAAGCTCGAGTTGCCTCACAAAATCAGAGTGACCCTCGCGCAACTACGTTCTGGATATTGTAGCAGGTAAAACTCCTACATATCCAGAATAGACCCCGGCATGCCAAATATATATCCTGCGTGCAATGAGTCTCCGCATGACACTAACCCCTCTTTGCATGCCCAACGAACTCCCTCATCTAACACCCATTTCCCCATGGTCTGACCCAAATGGCCACCCCCGTCCTGAGGCTCCCGTTAGATGACCTCTACGACAACCAAACTATAACTTATTACCTAATCGGGGACTCGGTAACCGTTACAACAACAACAACCGCATCTACATGGCGGCTACCACACGCTCAATATTTATTGACCACGATCCAGTATCGCGAAACTTATTCAACGTTTAGTACAATATTACACATTATCGATCGCGATCCACTTCATAAAGTATTTTGGCGAACACGAATACTATTATATAATATATACGTAATATTAAAAATTTAATTACAATCACGGTTGCGAGAGAGCACATTAATGTTGAGGAATATGTCTTTCAATTGGAATTAGGGGAAGGGACAACAAAGATAGAAGAAAAGGAAAAGACGCGAACATCAAACGGTATGGACATAAACATGATTTTGGCTGCGATGTCAACGCAAATATCGACACAGTTGAAAGATGCACGTATGACTCTACAAATATCGCAGTTAGAAACGCGTTTGTTAACGCAGTTGGAAGAGCAGTTCGCAACACAAGATGCACGTATATCAGCAAAGCACGAATGCACAGATATCGTAGGTGACCTCACCATAACAGAAGTGTCCTAACAGATTTCCATATTTTTAAGCTTCGATTCTAAAAGACGAGAAGACATTGTTCGTTGCATTAAAAGGGTCTGCGGGGATATTACACATCATTCTAAACTGCGAGACAAGTAGTTATAAAACGTTGATAGGTGCATTAGAAAGACGGTATGGTAGTGAGTACAGGAAGAAGATCTTCCAAATCGAGTTACAAAATCGCCGCCAAAAACTCAATGAGTCTTTGCAGGAGTTTTCTACAGAGATTGAGAGGTTAGCTCACTTAACTTATGCACATAAATCCGTAGTATAAATCGAGGACACGATACGCTGCGCGTTCAAAACTGCAAATATGTCTAAACAGGACGATCAGACTTATGTGGAGGGCAGTGTGGCGAATACGAATACTAGAACAAATCAAAATCGACGATAAACTGACAGAAGCAACAGACAGCGAATTCGCAGTTGCCAGAATGTTCTAGTAGCGAACTTTTGTTAAAGATTTATTTTATAAGAGCTAAAAGTAAGAAGTTGTAAACTCAAATAATGTGTAATAAGTGTTAAGTTGTTTTAATTAGAACTATAGATGTGTATAGTATATATCATTGAAGTTGGGGCTTTTATTTACAATCGAACTCAAAAGTGAGTTACAAGGTAGACGTTTTACCGAGAAATCCGTTACAATTCGTATCAAAAGTGGGACTGTCAAATAAAGAGAGAATTGTCTTGAAATGACAAAGTTTAACGATTTAAAGATTCCACAACTGAAAAAAGAGCTGAAACAGCGTAGTTTAACAATAAATGGAGTAAAGTCCAATCTACAATCACGGTTACGAGAGACCATGGAAGCAGAAAACATCAATGATGACGAATATGTGTTTCAATGGGAATTAGAGGAAGAGAAAAAGAAGAGACTCAATACTCGTCAAAGATTGTGGGCATGAACATGATTTTCACTGCAATATCCCAAATGTCAGAGCAAATTTCGACACAGGAGAGAGCAGGATGCACGTATATCGTAGATGTCAACGCAAATAGCAGAAGTGTCATCACAAATGTTCGCACAACAATCCCAATTGTCCTCGTTAGAAACGCGGTTGTACACGTAGTTGGAAAAGCAGTTCGCAGTGCACTATGCACGTATATAAGCACAAAGGTTCTCACAGTCCATAGAGCTGGGCGCGCGTATGTCAATGCAGGTGTCCTCACATATGGAAGAGAAGGAAGCGTGTGAAAGGTCCTCACAGGCAGAAAAGCAATAAGCTTGTGTACTAGTAAGAGGGTCCTCACAGTCAGAAGAGTAAGAAGCTTTTATACCAGCACAAACGTCCTCACAGTTGGAAGATCAGGAATCATGTGAACCAGTAAAAAGGAAAGCTCCCGAGTACTTATGGTTGTTCCAAAGGTTAAGATTCCTGAAGTTCTAAATGCGTAGTACAAAGGGCCAAGAGGAGGGCACTTGTACCAGAAACTGGGTATCTGGGAAATGGATGGAATTAAATCCAAGAAGAGAAGGACGACTTAGGAAGTTAACACCAGCCTATAAGACGAGATGAGGGACATAAAAGCTTTGTATTTGGCACCGCAAATATGTCTAATCGGAACGATCAGTCTTAGGTGGAGGGCAGTGTGACGAACACGGATGATGGAAAAAAATTGAAGGGTCGGCTTTAGTGCACAGGATAGCTGAAACCAAAGTAAGCGATACCAAGATTCGTCTTGGCCCAACGAGAGGCTGTCCACAGGGCGGTGTGCTATCCCCCCTACTTTGGAGCCTAGTTGTGGACGATCTTCTAGCAATGGAATCCGCTGTCAAGGATATGCGGACGATATTGTTATTGTAGCCAGGGGTAAGTTCGCAGACGTCTTGACGAAATGCCACCTGCCCTTCTTCCAAGGGACAGCATTAACAAAGCAGTAAGCTTCACTAGGAAGTTCAGAGTTACCCTTGGCAGTAAGGCAGAATGGAATGATTCCACACTGGACCTACTGCTAAGGGATATCACTATCAAGTGGTACACCGACGGCTCGAAAACGGCGGAGGGGATTGGTGGTTAGAGTGTGGTGTAGTGTTAAGAGCAATTCAAACATAAGCAAGAAGTTGTCAAGGATGATCATCCTTGAAGTTGTAAGCTCAAATAACAAGCGATCAGTGTTAAGTTGTTGGAATAAGAAATAAAGATAAGTGCATAGCCAATAAATTGCGAATTTTATTTAACAATTCAGTGCACGAATTCAAGATTGAGTTGCAAAGTTGACGATATATCGAAAAATCCGTTTCAATATTAAACATGTAGCATTCACTCACCAATAAGTTTATATTGAACGTGTTGTAGGCGTGTAAGGGCTTGATATTTGCTAAATCGATATAAATAATTGTGTTTTATCGATAGATCATTAATAACAAAAACTGGGGTTTGGTATTAATTTAGCTTTTGTTGAAAGTTTGAACTGAAATATAATTATAAAATTGAGAAATATGTCTACTGGAGTTTTGCCATTTGTTCGTGGAGTTGACTTTTCCAAAAATGATTTCAGTGTAGGTCTTATATACAACTCCTTTATTTTAATAAAAACATGTAGTATAAAAAATATATATGTTTATGTATAATCCACTAATTTTTTATATACGTATGTATATAGAATTCTAAGTTTCCGGCTGCTATTAAAGAGATGAATAGGGTACAATGGTTAACATTAGACAACACACATCTACGCGAAATTCCTGAAGAACTTGGAAACTTATTTAAACTAGAACATCTCTCACTGAAAAGTAATGAGTTGGAAAAGATATTTGGAGAATTAACAGGACTTCCTTGCCTACGTTCTCTAAACATTCGACGCAATCAAATTAAAAATAGCGGGATACCTCCTGAACTTTTTTGGCTAGACGAGTTGACAACTTTGGACATATCACATAATAAGCTTAAAGAAGTTCCTGAAGGATTAGAACGTGCTAAAAGCCTTTTAGTATTGAATCTAAGCGATAATCAAATAGAATCCATTCCTACAGCTTTGTTCATTCATTTAACTGATTTACTTTTTCTTGATCTTTCAAATAATCGTTTAGAAACATTACCTCCACAAACACGTCGACTCGCGAATTTACAAACTTTAAATTTAGCGAATAATCCATTAGAATTGTTTCAGCTTCGGCAATTGCCCTCTCTTCAAAATCTCGAAAGCCTCAACATGAAAAACACGCAACGTACTTTATCAAACTTCCCCACTACGCTGGACAGTTTATCAAATTTAGCTGAATTAAATATCTCAAAAAATATGTTACCAAAAATACCAGATTGCGTATATAATTTGCCAAATTTGAAGCGCATAAATCTTAGTGACAATCTCATTACTGAGCTAAGCTCTAGTATTGAGTTTTGGCAAAAGCTTGAAGTACTCAACTTATCACGAAATCAATTAAGTGCGTTACCAGCATCTATATGTAAACTAACGTACCTCCGCCGTCTGTTTTTAAACGACAATCGCTTAGATTTCGATGGAATTCCTTCTGGCATAGGTAAATTGTGTTCCCTAGAGGTATTTTCTGCTTCAAACAATGTATTGGAGATGATACCAGAAGGATTATGTCGTTGCGGGGCGTTAAAAAAACTAAATTTGAGTTCTAATAAGCTCATAACGTTGCCAGATGCCATTCATTTGCTAGAAGGATTAGATCAGCTGGATTTACGAAATAACCCTGATTTAGTTATGCCACCGAAACCATGCGAAGCTGTTAAAGGTGCTGGTATAGAGTTCTATAACATAGACTTTTCATTACAAACTCAGTTGTTACTTGCTGGTGCTGCAGTCCCTACTTCAATACCGACTGGATCTAGCGCTAAGGATTCTACTGCACGCAAAATACGTCTTCGTCGCGGTCCTCGAACCGATTCTGAACAGGATTCTGCAAAAATATTGAAAGGTATGAAAGACATAGCAAAAGATAAAGATGAATCCCAGAGTTCATTTGAAAACTTACAACATGAATCGCTAAAGCCAAAGCGTTGGGATGAATCGTTGGAAAAACCTCATTTGGATTATTCAAAATTTTTTGATAAAGAAGACGGCCAGTTTCCTGGCCTAACTATATGGGAAATAGAAAACTTTTTACCAAACAAAATTGAAGAAGTAGCTCATGGAAAGTTTTATGAAGGAGATTGTTATATAGTACTTAAAACTTTTTTTGATGAGTTGGGACAATTAGCATGGAAAATCTATTTTTGGATTGGTAATGAAGCAACTCTTGACAAGCGCGCTTGCGCTGCGATACATGCAGTTAACTTACGAAATTACTTAGGAGCTCGCTGCCGTACAATACGAGAGGAACAAAGTGAGTATATCATATATTATATTTGGTACAATGAAGTAATGAACAAGAACTTTTATGATTTTATTTTGGATATATACTTACATAACAGAAGTTCTTGTTATATAAAAAACAAGAGAAATTTCGATATTGCATTTATCGATTGAAATTTGTTTATATTCCGAATTTATATAGAACGGTGTACTACAAATATCAGATTGTTCTTAACATTAAGAGACGGGATTGTCAAGAGTTTACGTTTTCTTTCTTTTCCCTCTCGTTGTTGTGCTAGAAAACCTTTCCCAAATTATTTTAAACAATGCTGTTATTTTTGCCAGTCGCCACATACGATTCCGTTCCGATTACGTTGATACGAACGTCCTGGGGACGGAATTCTCATTCCTTTTGGCCACATTCATTACATATAAAACCAGAGATAAAGAGATGCTCAACTCATCTCTCCCTGGAAATGAGAGCGCAATTGCTAAAAATCAAAACCTCTTGAACTCGGGCAACTGTCAAAGTTCAAGAGCTCTGACGTTTAGCAATTGGAAAAAGATGGACGGCCAGATTGTAATCCTACAGAAAAATATGTGAACAGAGAGAGATTTGCTGCTCTCGTTGAAAATTACTAACAAAAATTGGAAAACATTGAAAATGAAAGAAAACACGAAATTGAAATGTATATGATGAAATCTTAGCAATATTAATTTTCAATTGAAAATTATAAAAAACATTTACTAATTTAGAGCGAATACATTTATTCTTTTGAATAAGTATTGAAAGTTCAAAAATCAATTGTTTTAATATATTACAAAATCACAAAAAAGGGGTTTAAATAGTTTCTGCATATGTTTAACGGATACATGGATAATAATATTTAACTTTAACAAATGTTGGGTATTTTTATTTAAAATCCCAAAAATTATTATTTTGTCCGGACTGGCTACATTAGAAAATGTTAATTTTGAGGCGCTCTCACCCTGGAAAGAGTTGGGCTTCCCATTATCCCTGTATGAAACCATTTACCTTTATAGTATTTCCTTGTCTCTGTTATTTAGCTTCTCTCATCTCGTTTTCTTATTTTGCAATTTTTTTGCTTGCTAATACTGAGTTCACATGGGGACTCTTTTGTCGTTTATTATCGGCAAACTCTTTTTTTGGTGTCGCTCTGTGCGTTCACACGAACGAAGAGAGTCTTTTTTCCGTCATTCCTTTTTATAAAATTTTCGCGAATGTTTGTGCAGTTCGGCTACGCTACACTTAGAGCTTAGTTGCAAAGATAATTTATATATTGGTATGGTGGTCTACATTTTGCTTACAAGGAATTACAATAAATGTGGTATAACAATATGCATAATACATGCTTAATAGCTTCAAAGAAATACTTAACTCGGGAATTCCCGAATCCACCAGAATGTATTGAATAGCCGCTACAAATATTTTCAAGGCCAAATTTATTACAGGAATTTCCTAATCTTTCGGGAAGTACCCGAATTTTTTTCTATTTATTATAGAACATTCATAAGTTAATTACAATTCTTGTATTAAATAAAATGATATTCGAACTAAATCCTTTGTGGTTAAAATAAGTAAATATGAATACATCCTTATATTTTATATAAATATAAAAAGGAAAAGTAACTACATATTCATTAGCTACTGGACGTGAACTGGGACTAAGTGATATTTCCTTTAAAAACTTTGTCGAAACTAAATTCTTTCTCTTGTATTGCAAAACAACAACAATACACATTTGGACTCATCTAGTTTTTAAATTCATATACATACCTTTAAAAAGAACGAACTTGATATTATATCAATGAATTTTAAATTATGTTTTTTTTATAGATGATGAATCTGAAGAATTTTTGGAACTATTTGAGTCTGAAGTTACATATATTGAAGGAGGTCGTACGGCAACAGGTTTTTACACAGTTGAAGATATGTTATACACCAAGCGTTTATATCGTGTGCATGCGGCTGGTTCATCGATTCATTTGGAGCCCGTTGGATTACATATTGATTCGCTTGATTCCCGATTTGCCTTTATGTTAGACTGTGGTATCAATATATATATTTGGCTTGGTTGCGCATCAAAAAATACATTGAATTCCAAAACACGGCTGATGGCAGAAAAAATTAATAAAACCGAGAGAAAAAATAAATGTGAGATCATTGTAGAAACACAGGGCAAGTAACAACGTCGCATTAAAATTATTTTATATTTATTTACTATGTAATTTGCAGGAGAAGAAAGCGACGACTTTTGGAAAAACTTTGCCATTGATTCACAGGACATATCAAAAAAAACTATTCACCAGCATGTTCCGGATAGTTTTGAGCCCGTTATTCCTCGTCTTTATCAGGTTCAACTCGGCATGGGTTATTTGGAGCTACCCCAAGTGGAATTGGCAAATCAAAAATTGGTTCATACTTTTTTGAATAGCAAAAATGTTTACATATTAGACAGTTATACAGATTTGTTTGTTTGGTTTGGTAAAAAATCGACTCGACTGGTGAGAGCAGCCGCAATAAAGTTATCACGAGAACTGTTTCAGATGATAAAACGCCCTACTTTCGCATTGGTCACGCGTTTGCAGGAAGAAACAGAGTCTCAAATATTTAAATCAAAATTTGTTGGTTGGGATGAAGTTATGGCAGTTGATTTTACAAGAACTGCTAAATCTGTTGCTAAAACTGGAGCAGATTTGACCAAATGGGCTCGTAAACAGGAGACACGTGCTGATTTAGCCGCTCTTTTTATGCCTCGCCAAAATGCAATGTCGCTTAATGAGGCTGAGCATCTAGAGGAGGATTGGAACTATGACCTTGAAGCAATGGAAGCCTTCGTTTTGGAAGGAAAAAAATTTGTGCGTTTGCCAGAAGAAGAGTTGGGAAATTTTTATATGGGAGAGTGTTATGTGTTTTTGTGCCGCTATTGTATACCCGCTGACGAAGAAGATCTCGAAGTGGACCCAGTTAAACCAGCCGATGATGAAATCCAATGCGTAGTTTATTTTTGGCAGGGGCGAAATGCCAGCAATATGGGCTGGTTAACTTTTACGTTTACTTTACAAAAAAAATTCAAAGCAATGTTTGGAGAAGAATTGGAAGTAGTGCGCATTCATCAACAACAAGAAAATTTAAAATTCATGGCTCATTTTAAACGCAAGTTTATAATTCATACCGGGAAAAGAAAGGATAAATTGAAAGATTCTAATATAAAACCTGTTGTCGAGTTCTTTCATTTACGATCAAATGGTGGGGCATTGTGTACTCGTCTTATTCAAGTTCAGCCTGATGCAACAAATTTAAATTCAACCTTTTGGTATATTTTTATTAGTTTTAATTATAATAAACATACTAATGTTAAGTATTTTTGCAGTTATATTTTGTATGTACCTTTTGACACCAAAGATGAAGCGCAATCGGGTATTGTTTATGTTTGGTTGGGTTCAAAGTCAGCACCAGAGGAAGCAAAGCTTATCCAAGAAATTGCTGAGAAAATGTTTAATAATCCATGGGTTAGTTTACAGATTTTAAACGAAGGAGAAGAGCCAGAGAATTTCTTCTGGGTTGCATTGGGTGGACGCAAAGCTTACGAAACGAATGCTGATTTTATGAATTATACCCGACTTTTCCGATGTTCCAATGAGAAAGGTTATTTCACAGTTGCAGAAAAATGTACTGATTTTTGTCAAGACGATTTAGCAGATGATGACATAATGATATTGGATAATGGTGAACAAGTTTTTTTATGGCTTGGTTCTAAATGTAGTGAAGTGGAAATAAAATTGGCCTATAAATCAGCGCAGGTAAGTTTTCAAGCCCTATACAAAGATTCTTTCGAGATATAATTTGTACCAGTGATTCCGTATAGGTTGAGATAACGCGAATTTTGAAATACCCGCTACATGTACGCCTATTTATATTATATTTGCTAATAGAAAATACCTTATATGTTACCATAAAATTTATCATTTTTCTCGGTGAACAGACGCACTTAATAAAAAATTTTGATGTAGCCTCTCAATGCGTTATTATACACGAATTAGTTATCGTGTCTTAAATAAGTATTGTATTTATATCGCATTTTTTAATTTAATAAGTTAACCTCCATTCGGTCTTTGTTAAAACGGGAGTATTTATAATTTTTTTAAGTATGCTTCACAATTTTTAATGTAATAATTTTGTTTTAGGTTTACATACAACATTTACGCATAAAACAACCCGAAAGGCCTCGAAAGCTTTTCCTCACATTGAAAAATAAGGAGTCTAAAAGGTTCACAAAATGTTTTCATGGATGGAGTAATCATAAATCTCCTCCAGAGTAATCGAGGTTTACATGCAACACTTATGCATAAAACAACCTGAAAGGCCTGAAAAGCTTTTCCTCGCTTTGAAAAATAAGGAATCTAAACGTTTTACAAAAGATTTTCATGGATGGAGTAGTCATAAATCTCCTCAAGACTAATTGTGTCAGTACATTACAAGTACAAGTGATGAAAGCATTGGAGATATATACATAGTTTGGTTAATTTCTATCAAAGCTAGCTGCTTTAGCAGTAGTATAGCGAATTTATTAACGAATTTATAGTCTTTAATAGAAATAGTACTTTTTTTTTTAATTAACAAAAAATTGGCAAATCAAATACGGTCATCAGGTTAGCACATATCCCTTTTTTCTATTTGTTTTAACTTTTTCATAAACATATTTTAAATATGTCTGTATATATTTTTAACCAAACGTACGTAAAAAAATAATTTAATCATATCTAGCACATGTTTCCAAGATATTTTTTATTTTTTTAAATGTTTAACAAATATGAAAATGCACATAAATCGAAACCAACGTAAAAACAGCTTGAAAATAAAATATGATAATAAAATGATTCTTAGGCGGGAACGAAGTGAAACACTGATTAAAATTATATGAAATCATATCATTGAAAGAACATAACCTTTATTTTAACTTGTTAACTAGTGAGATTAATGATCAAGCATTTTTAATGCCCTCAATTAATTTCTCTTTAGTGATATATGGTCACCCAGGCTGCGAACCAACCAAGGTGTGAGGACACGTTTCCTACTATATTGATGTTCGATGAGTAATCGACGTTTTGTCCTTCAATTTAATACTTAAGCCTCTATTGCAGTTTTCAACTCAACTGCATTTTATTTGAAGTTTTGAAATTTGGTGGGTTCGGAAGGTTGTTCTGAAATTGAATTGCTTTAACTTTAATTCAACTGAGTGAATCCCACATAATGGGGATATTAATCGTTTCAAATGTGAAATATTCCTTATCAGCCTTTGAAAAGTAGACTACCTATCTTTAAAGACAGTATTTGATTGACAATCTCTTTAATTTTACCGCTTGTATTATTTATATTACGCATATAATTGTAGATAACTTTTCGACTTCTATGGGATTTTTATTTTTTTGATATTTTAGTTATTGAAACCGGTAATTCTATATTAGTTTCGATTATGACTTTGTCTTCAACCAATAGTGATTTACCTTTATCTATAAAAAATTTTGTGCAAATACGAGTTCAAACTCTAAAGAAATGAACAACAAATTGCATTTACTAATCTTATGACACAAATATTGAGCATAAATTGCAAAAAACCATCCAGAAATGTCCTTAGCGCATGTTATCTTAACCAGTAACTGTTCATACTAAATGAGAAAATCAGAAAACAATAAGTTACCTGCAAGTTAACAAAAAAAATCAGCAGCAATGATATTAGGCTGATGTAGGTACGCTAACCTGGTGAGTTGCAAGGTATATATATATGTGTCTTATTTTACTATTTTGTGTTATGAAAGATTGACAACAGGGCAATATTACTAATGAGAATGTAATTCAGCTTGTCCCGCTTGGAGGGCACATTCTGTAAACCGAATTATGTGGCTGTAGTAAAAACATTCTCATAGCGGTAGGAAAAATAAAAAAAATAATTAAAATAAAATATATTCTATAATAAATTATATTCCAGCATATATGATTTATTATTTTAATCTTTATTAAAAAAACTAATAATAAGTAATCATTTTAACTATATATCCTTTTATTAAAAGAAAAATAAGTGCACAACAATTTGTATAACGTGAATGTAAACTATAAGTTCCATAATTTTAGTATATACCATAATAATAATTAAATATTTTTGACTAGCTCAACTTACAATTTTGATTCTAAATTTATGGTGAAAGTATAGGATAGGTGAACTTATGCATAAACTTAATATCTGTGTATAAAAAACGACTACCGAATTATTATTATTTGTATGTATCTACGAAATTTTTACCCCTAATACGGTTCTATTAACTCAATCCATCAAAAGCAAAAAAATCGGTTGAAGTATTGTCATCACTGTTCCAGTGTCATTGACCAGAATATCAAAAAACTACAACTGCTTAGTTGTAACGATTATCCAGACCCTGTTTGACAGAAAGTAATAAGTTAACTGTCATCAAAACCACTTAACGGTAGGCCCAGGAAACGAGCTGATTTGACGGGTTTAGGAGAGGGTAATTAAATGAGTTGGTTTCATTGGGCATGCAAAGAAGTGATTAGTTTCATAAGGGGACTCATTGCACGCATGACATAGGTTTTGTATTATCAGGGTTTATTTTGGATAAATAGGAGTTTAACCTGCTACAATACCGAGATCGAAGTTGGGTAAGGGTAACTCAAGTTTCACGAGGCAACTAGAGCTCTTGTTCTGCTATGTGTGTTGTTTGGACTCCGAGAACGCTATTCACTGGGAAGGAGACAATTGAGGTGTTATTTGCTCCACTGAAAATGGCGTTAAGTACCCGTCGAAAATTGGTCGCGTCCGAAATTCCGTCGGTATATTATTCTAGTTCGTCGACATGTTGGAGCAATGTTCTTCTGATGTGACTAGGAGGCCTTCCGTCAGTTATTGCACGGATGTTTTATTATGCTACTTAACAGGGAGCATGCGGGCCACGATATGAAGTTGTTCGATGGGTGACATCAGGCGAAATCCTGATATAGTCCGAAGCCGTGTTCTGACAGTTCTGTATCTTCTCCATCTGCATGCTGCTATATCCAGGCTACCATATTGAGGGACTTGGTTAATGACGGACTGGCCGATTGCCCTGTATTTTGCCAACAACGTCTCTTTATCCAAGCCCCAAGCGTTGCCAGCTATCGACTTGAGAATCTTGTTGCGGATCTGTACTTTTGGAATGAAGGAGTGAAGACTGTCGAATGTAAACTTAAAATTTGAGGGTTGTTTATTGTCGGAATTTTAACGTCATCAACGGAAATGTTGAGTTCCAGTTTGTACTCCTTCGTCCAGTTTGTAAATAGGGTGGCCGTGGATTTAGCAAGGAAGAGTTTTAGGCTCCTTGCAGTCAAGAAGCGACAAAGTTCTAGGAGGTACGCGTTCACTTTTGAACTTAAGTATATGGCACCCTCAACTTCATTTCTGACAACTGTTTAGTGTTTTCTCTGCTACAGTTATAGGTTTAATCCCCTGCACAAAAATACGGTGTTCCATAATGTTTATAAACTAATTGTTTTAATTTTACAACTGGTAACTGGTAATCGAAAATTAGGATACGGCAGACATGATCGTCCACGCGAAAATGATCAGAATGTTTTGAAGTAATAACAAACTATTAATATTTAATTTTTTGAACAACTAGCATTGAATGAATACACATCCATGCACACATGCAATCTATATATCATAAATTTTGTAAGTATGTTTTGGATCTTAACGAACAAATCTCCTATGACAGTATAGGTAGGTATATACATATATTGGAATGCATTTCTAACCGATTTAGTTGATTCAATAATTCAATAAAAAGCAAAAAAATTTTTCAAAAATAACAGCACGTAATCTGATTTTTAAATGTTAAAGATATGAAATTATTATATGTAAGTTTTCACTTTTAATTACTTAAAACAAGAGATTATAAACACAAATATATTTTAATGACCAGTAATTGGGAAAATCTACAGAACATCTATTATTTTGTATTAACTAATTTTTCATACATATAAATTTCATGTCTTTATCTTTTTTATTTCAACTTGAATAATAATGTTCATCAAAACGGTCTCGATTGTTACAGCTTATTAAAGAATTTTCGAATTAACGACGTGTGTACAGGACAACGTCGGTCGGGTCTACTAGTGTATATGTATATTTATTATTTTTGAAGGAAAAAATTGTGTGTAAACATAACAAAGTACAACGAAAAACTAACTAGAAATAACATTTTTAGAAATCTCGTTTATAACGAAAAATTATGATATCATCTTACAAAAGTGGTATTTACAACTGCGTTTACAAAATTCTTCCAATTTCATTGGCAAGGGGTATATATTCAAAAATATTATCATGGATGATTAACTATAGAGTAAAGTATCTTCTGGGATAACTACATCTGTTGTCCAATCAATCCAAATAACAATTGGTCCGGTTTTGATAGACTCATTTAGCTGAAATACATCTAAGACTATTATTGGTGATTTCTTAAAGATCTCCAGTGTTATAATAGGTTGTGCTTCTTGTTAATAATGATTAGTTTGAAATTTTCTGTACATATCATATCGCAGGGAATAGCGATTGTGAATAAATTTAAGTTTCAAATCATCATAAGGATATGATCATGGTTAAGATGAACATTTACATCTCTTAAATTACAATGATTAAATGTATATTCATGTCGAAATATAATATATGTATATAAATAATAAAAATACAAAACGTGGCCTTTCATCTTCATTTTTGTTTTAAACATCTATAATTTGTAAGCGTCAGAGAGTTGAATATGTGGTATTTAAAATTTGTCGTATCTGTTAAATTATTTAATTTACGTGTATGATCGATTTCTCCATTAATTTTATATTGAATTTATTCAAAAAGATTTGCCATAGAATTACACAGCTCTACAAAAAAAATTTTATTCATTATGTGTTTGTTTTTATGATAATTGCATGTATATACTTTAAGCAATTATCGGCTTATCAGTAATAAGATTTATTTTTTCAGTCATGAACCCCACTCTCAAACTCTTTACCGAAAACATACCAAAAATAATGCGAGGGGTTGTAAGTTGTTGGGATCGTATACGATGGCAGATTACTACTGGTCATTAAAAAGAGATTGTCAACATAAAAATTATATAGGAAAAGCTCATAATAATCGTTTTATTCGAATGTAACATACGTTTTTGACATTTATATTTCTGTTTACTGCTATGTATTGTTAAACAATAGTGACAATATAAATATATTAGTTATTTTGTTTCATGTTTTCTGGTTTTGTGATGTAAAATGAAAATAAAGATTAAAAATAAACGAGAGCAAATCTTACAAAATCTTTTCTTGTTACCGCGCAAATATTGCGAAGTTGCAGCAACGATAAAATACAAAGGGCCGAGTAATGCCGCTATGTGTGGTCAGCTATTCGACTAACTTTATTTGCAAAATTCTTTTCCGTAAATAATATTCTAAGCAATATTTCAATACCGTTCAATACGGTATCAATATCAATTTTGCATTAGTGTTTAATAGTTCATAAAAGGAGAATAACCCAAGTACATACTTTTCGCTATTGCTCCTTCGTATATGCAAGTAATGTAGTTATTAAGGAAAAGAAAAATGTAAAAAATGGGAACGCAGCATTGCAAGATATACATATAAACCTGTGCTTACATATAAACCTTAGTACATGTTAAATGGGACCAGCTAATGTGCACAAACAAATATTCCTATAATTGCGTGAACGAAAACGTAGCGGTAGCATAAGTGTTAAAAGCAAGCGCAAGCAAGCAAATATGTATGTACACAATGCAAATACAATTATTAACTGCATTTTGTTGAATGATTTCTAATTCTTGCCCTTGAATATTAGGCAAATAAATAGCAAAAATATATTAGAACATATGACCGTAGAATGTAGTTATCAATCGGTGACCCAACATCCTGGCCCCGTTGAAAGGCATTCCAAACAGGTAGAAGTGCTAGCTTGTGAATTGGTCGCTGAATGATTCCCTTCGTTGTTCGAATGTCCACCACACGTACTTTAGAGTCCCTTCCTGGAATACAGTTTATGACTCTTCCAATGTGCCATTTTTGTGGTGGTAAGTTATCTTCATGGATGATAACCATTGAGTTGTTGATGTTTGGTCGCTTCGCTTCGCAAAGTGGTTTACTTGAAGTTCGTTGATGTATTCATTTGACCACCAGTTCCAAAACATCTGTTTAATGCTTGTGACCTGATTCCATCGTTGCTGATGTAAGCTGACAATCTCCGCTCTGGGAGGGACCTAAGTACACTTCCAATAATAAAATAATGGAGTTAATACTTCATAATCATTTGGATCCGATGACATTGGTGATATTGGAAGAGAATTTAATACAGTTCTATCTCAACCAGGACTGTTGTTAGTTCCTCAGCTGTGAGTCTTGCATTTTTGATGGTGCGGTTGAGGTGACCCTTAGCCGATTTGACTGCTGCCTCCCAAATACCGCCGAAATGAGGTGTTTTTGGAGGAATAAAATTGAAATTTATAAATTCATTAGCACAATATTTTACAATTGCATCTTTGTTTTCGGTTTTAAATAAAAATGACTTTAATTCAGCTAGTTTGTTGCAAGCACCCACAAAATTTGTTGCGTTATCGCAAAAGATGTCAGAGGGTAGACCTCTTCTTCCAATCATGCGCTTCAATGACGCTAAGAATGCGTCCGTGGATAGATCCGATACTAGTTCGATGTGAACCGCCTTTGTCGCTAGACAAACGAAGATCCCACTGTACGCTTTAAAAGGTCTTTTGCCTCGAATACGCAAATATACGTTGACTGGTCCGCAGAAATCAATACCGCACCGCGCAAAAGGACGAGATGGAGTTAAACGCTCGACAGGTCCATTACTTGGTTCATCAGCTTTGGCTTGTAGCGTATACAATGTGTGCATGATCTGACGATACGTCTTGCTAAATCGCGCGCATTGACTATCCAAATGTGAAGTCTTACCAGTGCTACGAGTGCCTTTGGTCCTGCATGGAAGTGTTTCCGATGTAGATGGCGAATGTAATGCACAACAAATTTGCATTTGCCTGGCAACAGCATGGGGTGCTTCCTTTCTACTGGAATGTCTGCTGATTCTAATCGACCCCCCACTTGGAGTATTTGAAATCCTTCGGTATACTCGAGAAAAGGATTTAAATAACGTAACGAGCCATTTATCGTAAGCTCTTTCTGTAAAAGATGAA